AAAGGAGCAATGTACCCTTAACTGCGTTAAACATGTTGTCACGTGGATGGAATATGCATGGAAATGATATGCAGATGACGTTATGCATATTAAAACTAGGCCTTGTAAGCTCCATAAATGGCTATTTCGGGGAGGAGACGGGGTGGAGATTCATGTACGCACAATCTTTCGCTGACTGGGTATTACAAAGGCAATTTTGCGCAGGTTCTGGCGTACACATGGCTTTATAAATCTGAAAACTTTTGTACATACGCAAAATCTAGCTTTTGTGCGTACGCACACATTTAGGATGAAATCTACGTAAAGTTTTATACATGAGGCCCCTGGACTTTATGTTGTTGTTTTATGCGGCAGTCGTCCGTGAACTTTTACATTCGTTTTGTGTTTGTTTATTTGATTATTAAAGTCTTGTTTAAATGTTCGCCGGTTCCCGCCTTCTTCTACGAACTTTGTTACAGTGATTTTGTGCCTCTTTGGGATGGCACTATAATGCACCGTTCACTTGCAGAACGCAAGCTTTTGGAGGGCACATAAGTCAGAAGTAGTGAATCTAGGTAAAGGGGTGCAGAGCCAGTGGTGGTTTTGTAGGCAAACATCAATACCTTGAATTTTATGCGAGCAGCTACTGGTAGCCAGTGCAAATTGATGAACAGAGGTGTGACATGCGTTCTTTTCGGCTCGTTAAAGACTAATCTTTCAGCCGCATTCTGGATTAGTTGTAAAGGTTTGATAGAACTGGCTGGAAGATCTGCCAAGAGAGCTTTGCAATAGTCCATTGAACGTGATTTCACTAATTACAACATGTTCCTGGATTAACATCCTTGTTGATCCTGGAACAACATTCTAATCAACCAGAATGTTTTTAAAACTGACATTTCTTGAAAACTTATCCCTCAATTCTTATTGGTTGATTGATCTGATGATTCATTTCCCTCTGATTTTAGGAATAAATTATGGGTAGGGTTAGATTTAGGGGTAGGGATTGGGTTAGGTCTATATTTTTGGACAGTAATGTCGATCCAGGATCAATAAAAGATGCTGATCCAGGAACATGTCTTACTTGGCAAAATAACGGTGACCACAGTAGTCCAGTCTGGACAAAACAAGAGCTTGAACAAGGAGTTCTGTTGCATGTTCTGAAAGAAAGGGCCTTATCTTCCTAATGTTGTATAAAACAAATCTGCAGGACCGGGCAGTTTTAGCAATGTGGTCTGAGAAATTCAGATGCTGATTTAAGAAAAATTGGGAGTGGTCTCTTAATTTTTTCCAGAGCTGTATTTGCCCCAAACAATTTTGCTATCTGGGACAGTTCTTCTATATAAAATTAGGCAAAAGGGCTTGTCAGAAAATTGAGAGAACAGCAATGATTAATGGTAGGGATGTGAAAATGTTAACTTAGTCATCTCAGAATACATTTGAATTTTGCCATGTTCAATGTGCAGTATTTACTGTATGTAAAAATGTAGATGTATGCAAATAATGGAAAATACAGTTTCCAATATCTTAATTTTTTAGTGTAAATTTAAAGGGATAGTTCACCCAAAAATTTAAATTCAGGCAGTATTTACTCATCCTGGTGTTGCTCAAAAGCAGTTTTTTCCCTTTCCTAAGGCTATGCTAATGTCTGACTACATAGTTTATACTGCAAGTAACATGCTTGTCTCAAAGATTAAGCCTAGCAGTTGTATGTGCAGATGCTTCTGAAACTAACATTGTAAAAACAACAAAACAAGAAAAAAATGCACTGTATTTTTAACTAGAATTAGAAAGTCTAATGGACATCGGGATTGGGTTAGGTCTATATTTTTGGACAGTAATGTCGATCCAGGATCAATAAAAGATGCTGATCCAGGAACATGTCTTACTTGGCAAAATAACGGTGACCACAGTAGTCCAGTCTGGACAAAACAAGAGCTTGAACAAGGAGTTCTGTTGCATGTTCTGAAAGAAAGGGCCTTATCTTCCTAATGTTGTATAAAACAAATCTGCAGGACCGGGCAGTTTTAGCAATGTGGTCTGAGAAATTCAGATGCTGATTTAAGAAAAATTGGGAGTGGTCTCTTAATTTTTTCCAGAGCTGTATTTGCCCCAAACAATTTTGCTATCTGGGACAGTTCTTCTATATAAAATTAGGCAAAAGGGCTTGTCAGAAAATTGAGAGAACAGCAATGATTAATGGTAGGGATGTGAAAATGTTAACTTAGTCATCTCAGAATACATTTGAATTTTGCCATGTTCAATGTGCAGTATTTACTGTATGTAAAAATGTAGATGTATGCAAATAATGGAAAATACAGTTTCCAATATCTTAATTTTTTAGTGTAAATTTAAAGGGATAGTTCACCCAAAAATTTAAATTCAGGCAGTATTTACTCATCCTGGTGTTGCTCAAAAGCAGTTTTTTCCCTTTCCTAAGGCTATGCTAATGTCTGACTACATAGTTTATACTGCAAGTAACATGCTTGTCTCAAAGATTAAGCCTAGCAGTTGTATGTGCAGATGCTTCTGAAACTAACATTGTAAAAACAACAAAACAAGAAAAAAATGCACTGTATTTTTAACTAGAATTAGAAAGTCTAATGGACATCGGTAACATGTTTCTACAGTAAACCTTTATGTATGCAGGTCATTTCCTGTTCTAACTATAAAAATATTAAATCATGATTTATATTTTTGTATAATCGTTTTCTGTACTTTCACATTTGTTGTTTTACTTTTTTTTGTTGCTGTCTCTCCAGTGATGAACATAATGATCTGGTGAAATCTGTGAATCATCTGACCTGCACTTCCTTAGTGGAGACCAACATCAGGCACCAGAGAATCAGAGACACTCACAAAACATGCATGAAGAACAAATATGAGAGCTTATTTGAAGGAATCAAATTACGAAAGAATCAAACTTTACTGAACAGAATCTACACACAGCTCTACATCACAGAAAGAGAGAGTGAAGGAGTGAGTGAAGAACATGAGGTTGTACAGATGGAGAACATACAGAGACCACAACAGTCACAAGACACTCCAATCCACTGCAATTACATCTTTAAACCCTTACCTGAACCAGGATGTGAGGAGAAAGACCAAATCAAGACTGTTCTTACTAAAGGCATCGCTGGAATTGGAAAAACTGTCTCTGTGCAGAAGTTCATTCTGGACTGGGCCGAGGGAAAAGCCAATCTGGATGTAGATTTCATGTTTGTGCTTCCATTTCGAGAACTGAACTTGATTAAAGATCACCAGTACAGTCTTCACAGACTTCTGCTGGACTTTCATCCTGAACTTCAAGTTCTGGACTCTAAGATTTATGAAAATTGTAAAGTTGTGTTCATTTTTGATGGTCTGGATGAAAGCAGAATTGCAATGGAGTTTTCAGACACTAAGAAAGTTTCTGATGTTACTGAGATTTCATCAGTGGGTGTATTGATAACAAACCTCATCAAAGGAGATCTTCTTCCATCCTCTCACATCTGGATCACCTCCAGACCAGCAGCAGCCCAACTGATCCCCTCCACATACATCAACCGTGTGACAGAAATTCAGGGATTCAGTGACCCTCAGAAGGAGGAATATTTCAAGAAGAGAATCAGTGACGAGCATCAAGCCAACAGAATCATCTCACATATCAGAAGGGCAAGAAGCCTCCACATCATGTGCCACATCCCCGTCTTCTGCTGGATCTCAGCCACTGTGCTTCAAAACCACCTGAAACAAGATGAGAGTGCAGAAATCCCTAAAACTCTGACTGAAATGTACATACACTTCCTGCTGATTCAGATCAAAATGAGGAATCAGAAATATGAAGAGAAAAATCCAGAGAAACTCCTGCAGTCCAACGGAGAAATTATTGTGAAACTTGCTGAACTGGCTTTCAAACAGCTGATGAAGGGCAATGTGATGTTCTATGAGGAGGACCTGATTGAGAGCGGCATAGACGTCACTGATGCCACAGTGTGTTCAGGGATTTGCACTGAGATCTTCAAGGAGGAATCTGTGATTTTTCAAAAAAAGGTCTACTGCTTTATACATCTGAGCTTTCAGGAGTTTCTTGCTGCTTTCTATGTGTTTTACTCCCATATAGTCAAGAACACAAAATCACTGCAGTTATTTCAGGGTCATAAATATGAAAGGTACAGGTCTGAGGAGAACTCTCTGTGTGAACTACTAAAAACAGCTGTTTATAAAACCCTTGAGAGTGAAAATGGACACTTAGATCTCTTTTTCCGATTCCTGCTGGGCATCTCACTGGATTCCAATCAGAGACTCTTAGAAGATCTACTGACAAGAACAGAGAACTGCCCAGAGAGCATTAGAAAAACCACACAGTACATTAAAGACAAAATCAAAGATGGACGTAATCTCTTTGCTAACAGGTCCATCAGATTGCTCCTCTATCTGCTTGAAATGAAGGATCAGACTCTGTATAGAGAGATTCATGATTTCGTGAAATCAGACAAACACTCAGAGGATAACCTCTCTGCTGCGCACTGTTCAGCAATAGCTTACATGTTTCAGATGTCAGAGAAGGTGCTGGATGAGCTTGACCTCAAGAAATACAACACAACAGAGGAGGGCAGAAGAATACTGATGCCAGCTGTGAACAACTGCAGAAAAGCTTTGTGAGTGTTGACATGACATGATTCAATATTAATTTAAATGAATTGTAAGACATGACTTGATATTCAGAAAAAAACTATGATAAAACAAGTATCACAAATATTCAAAAAATTGTTACAATGTATATTCTCTTGTAAATTCTGTAGCCACTCTGACCACTGATGTGGTCTGTGTCAGTCTGTGGTATTTTGTTGTCCTTCAGAGAAGCAGTGTTAACAATGAAAAGAATACCAGTAGGCCATACATTGAAATTATAGCATAAGCAATAGCTCTTCTACAAAAACTTGTTGTACTGTTACATTCATTAAAATGGCTTTAGAAATCGAACTTTTTCATTCTGTCACTTCACTTCTGGTTGTAAGCGATGATGCTGACCTGTGCGTGGCTGGTTTGCCACATTCCTTAAATTATTCTCATGTGTCCTTGGTGGGGTTGCAGCTGCCTTCAGGTGTGCTGGATTAATGATGACTAGATGCTTTGATGGCACAGGATTTTAGTCTCAATCACGAATTTTGACAGTGACAAATGTAGAAAATCTGAATTTACTAATTTAATTACTTCTTCCTCTGTTATAGACTTGCAGGCTGTAATCTCACTGATGAATGCTGTGAAATTGTGAGCTCAGTTCTACAATCATCAGATTCTCTTCTGAGAGAGCTGGACCTGAGTAACAATAACCTGCAGGACAGAGAGAAGAGTCCACAGAGTCAACTGAAACAACAGAGGTTTGTGATTTTCAAAAATTATGAACTAATGATGCAATAAATTGACCAATCAACCCCTGGCAGTCTTTTTCTAAATTTAGTACACTTTACAGCACTGACAAAATCACTTCACCAATCTATCTAGCCCAGGCTAGTTAAGCCTGTCTTGGTATCCAGTGAGGAGGTGGGATTGTGCCAGTGTCATGATGGTCTTCCTCTTGTTTGGGGTACCAGCATTCAAGCATTTGTACAATGAACCGAGAGGAAAGAATTGCTCTGGTCTGCCAGAGGTCACTTCATTACACCAGTATTTCAAAGAATTGCTCTGGTCTGCCAGAGGTCACTTCATTACACCAGTATTTCACTCAGTCATCTTCCCTCTGTTCCTGCATCCTTTGGATTTTCATTCTCTTACTTCCCTTATCACTTGCCAGTAGAGTTGGCATCTTAGATACAATCTGGGCCTATCTGGTCCCAATAGCAGAGTGGCTGGCAGATCCTTCAACAGGCAAATTTGGGGTGTCCTCCAGCTTGGCTTCTGCATATATAATGCCCATTCAGGTGCACCTCTCAGACAGGAGCACTGCGTGACACTGAAGGGTCCACCACAAAATCAAGTGTTCACCCATCCGTATTACCTTTTCTTGTTCTACTCTTGGGGTGCGTAAGCAGCTCACCTCTCCAGTTGCCTTCTTTACGAAAATGCATTAGCCCTCTCCTCAATACTCCTGGCTTCTTCATTCCTACTTTGAGCGGGAAAGGGCATGGAGGAGGGTGTCCATGACCAAAATATTTCTGTACATTAATGGGCTATCCAGAACAAACCAGAGGTGAGTAAGGTGGGAGAACTAGGTGGCCTAAATTTTAGTAAAGATACAGGAATTTTACATCCACTCATCCACCCTGAAGATCCAACCTGAGCCAGTGTTTCGCCCTTCAAAGTATCATGGCAGAAAATAGAGACAGCAGAAAATAACATCCTTCAGGAGTTCCTGGTTACACTGCAACTCAACTGTTAAAATTATCTAATGCTTTGCCACAGTGCTTAAATGGTGTTGAGAGAAACATTTTAAAAGATATTTTGTGGCTTGAATGATAGGACACAATGGGAGAGGAGAAGAGGAAAGGACCTTGAGCAGGGACTCAGACTCGGGTCGCCTGCAGTGCTGCTCCACCACATGTCGGAGCACTGCTCCACAAGGCTGTGGCTCAGATGAGAAGACCATGGTGTTACAATAAATGCCAAAGCACATTTCCACTTGGAAATGAATCTAAAAATTATTTTAAATGTGAATGTAATATTTTAAATAATTTTAGGTGTTTGCTCAAACAAAGGGAGTTAAATTAAATTAATAAATTAAATAAATGAAATTAATAAAAATGTTTTGTTAGATTTAGAAGTTGATCTTGGAGCCATGTGCTTAGGTGGCCACAATTCTTGGTGGTGAAGCAGACCCTGCAGGCGTACTGGATCAATGATAGACGCTTTCTGTCTTAAAATATTAGTCATGATCAGTGAGGAGAACTGGACAATGTCAAATATGTAAGGAATAATTGACGATGGGCCGTTGAATTATTAGAAAAATAATGCGAAGACTTCGCCGATCAGCGATCCAGCAGCGCTCCTACAACTATCAACAGAACTCTCTGCTCAGGCCTCACAGCTCGCCATGCATGAACACTAGTTAAATCGGCTCACCACATTGACTGAGGAGCTCGTCAAGGCACTACAAGGTATCAGCATATCACCCCCCGGAGCCGTTTCTAATCCGCCATCTGTCCTCAGTCACCCACCACCTGCTCAGACACCTCCAGTCAGCCCACGACTTGCTTTCCCTGAGAAATTCGATGGAGAACCTGCCAAACTAATCCGCCATCTGTCCTCAGTAACCCACCACCTGCTCAGACACCCCCAGTCAGCCCACGACTCGCTTTCCCTGAGAAATTTGATGGAGAACCTGCCAAATGCAAGGACTTCCTACTTCAGTGCTCGCTGTCTGTCAACCAACAGCCCTCGCTGTACCCCACAGATTCTAGCCGCATTGCTTTCGTCTGCTCACTACTCACCGGGAGAGCATTGGATTGGGCCACCGCTGTCTGGAGGACGGACGGTTCATCATTCCCCACCTTCGAAGCATTCCTTCGAGATTTCCGCGAGGTTTTCGAACACCCAGCTGAAGGGAGAAGCGCGGGTGACCAATTGTTAACTCTTTCTCAGGGAAAAAGGCCAGCAGCTGAGTACGCTCTGTCCTTCCGAACTCTCGCGGCTCAGACTGTGTGGGTGGAGGACACGCTAAAGCTCGTGTTCCGGAGAGGATTGAATTCAGAGTTACAGTCAGAACTGGCCTGCCGGGATGAGGGAAGAAATCTGGGTGAGTTCATTGATCTCGCTATCCAAATAGACAATCGGATCCGCTCTCGACGCTCTACCCGAGCCACGCCTCGTTTCACATCTGAAACCACCAGCGGAGCCGAACCCATGCAGTTGGGATTCACTCACCTCACTCCCGAGGAAAGGGAACGCCATATGCAGAATCAACTGTGCCTCTATTGCGGTCAGGCGGGACACATGAGGACTTCCTGCCCAGTTCGTCCCTCACCCAGTTCCCGATCGGTGAGTCTAAACACTCGCAAGACCACATCTGCCTCAAGCATAAAATTACCAGTCAAACTGCTTGTTAATGATACTACAATTACCACCACTGCTCTATTAGACTCCGGAGCGGCTGGTAACTTTGTTTCATATGAATTCGCTCAGCACCACAAACTAAAACTTACCCCTTGTAACTCTCCCCTGGCAGTGGAGGTGCTAGACGGACGGCCCCTTGGAGAGGGGAGGATTTTAAGCATCACCGAAGAAGTCAGATTACATGTTGGAACCCTGCACTCTGAATTCATTCGATTCTTCGTCATCCACTCGCCCAATCACACTATCATTCTAGGACTGACCTGGCTCCGCACTCACAATCCACTCATTTCTTGGAGGGAGGGACAAATTATTCAATGGGACGTCAAATGTCAAGATCATTGCCTGACAAAAATTACCCGCGCCCCCAGCAATGCCTCTCTATCACCTGCTCCAGTCGCAAACAATGTTCATCTGCCCCCAGAATACTCAGACCTCGCCGACGCCTTCAGTCAGAAAAAGGAGTCTCAGCTTCCCACTCACCGTTCTGTTGATTGCGCTATTGACTTAATGCCCGGCACCACTCCTCCTAAAGGCAGAATCTTCCCGTTATCACAACCCGAATCTGAGGCCATGAAACTTTACATTGACGAGGAACTATCTAAGGGATTCATTCGACCCGCCCCCAGCAATGCCTCTCTATCACCTGCTCCAGTAGCAAACAATCTTCCTCTGCCCCCAGAATACTCAGACCTCGCCGACGCCTTCAGTCAGAAAAAGGAGTCTCAGCTTCCCACTCACCGTTCTGTTGATTGCGCTATTGACTTAATGCCCGGCACCACTCCTCCTAAAGGCAGAATTTTCCCGTTATCACAACCTGAATCCGAGGCCATGAAGCTTTACATTGACGAGGAACTATCTAAGGGATTCATTCGACCCTCAACTTCTCCTGCCTCAGCCGGGTTCTTCTTTGTAAAGAAAAAGGACGGAGGGTTGCGGCCATGCATTGATTACCGCGGCCTCAATGACATCACCATTAAGTTTCGATACCTGTTGCCCCTAGTTCCAGCCGCATTAGAACAGCTTCGCCAGGCCAAATACTACACCAAACTAGATCTGCGCAACGCCTACAACTTAATTCGCATCCGTGAAGGAGATGAATGGAAGACGGCGTTTTCCACCACTAGTGGGCACTATGAATATTTGGTTATGCCGTTCGGCCTGGCAAACAGTCCTTCAGTTTTCCAATCTTTCATGAATGGCATCTTCCGGGACATGCTCGACAGATGGTCCTTGCGAAGTCTTGATTTGCCCCGGCTGTCATTTCCGAGCGTTATACCCGTGTTTGTTTTCTGTGCTTTGATCTTGGACTGTTTCCTGATTCTCTGATTGTTATCTGCCTGCCCCGACTTGGATTGTTTCACCTGGACTCTGTTTGCTAGCCGCCTGCCCCGATCTCTCGCCTGGTTCACGATTCTGTCTCTGCCTTGTCTCTACTGTTCTGCCTTGCCGGTATTTGACCCTGTATTGTCTGACTATTCTCAATAAACTGCAAATGGATCCAAACCCTTCTGATGTGTCGCAACACTCAACAGTGTTCTGCAGCAACGTCTCTCAACAGCGCTGTTATTACCTCGCTAGTGAGAAATGTCATGTGTAGCCTTCAACTTGCTACACTGTATAGGCTAACTGATAAAATCGTCAGGGCAGTGCTGACAACACCTTTTTGTGCAAACTGCGTGACCGTAGTGTGCGTGTGCGAGCACTTGTGATTGCAGTAATTCCTGTGTGCTGTATAGGTACATTTCCGCGAGGTTTTCGAACACCCAGCTGAGGGGAGAAGCGCGGGTGACCAATTGTTAACCCTTTCTCAGGGAAGAAGGCCAGCAGCTGAGTACGCTCTGTCCTTCCGAACTCTCGCGGCTCAGACTGTGTGGGTGGAGGACACGCTAAAGCTCTTGTTCCGGAGAGGATTGAATTCAGAGTTACAGTCAGAACTGGCCTGCCGGGATGAGGGAAGAAACCTGGGTGAGTTCATTGATCTCGCTATCCAAATAGACAATCTGATCCGCTCTCGACGCTCTACCCGAGCCACGCCTCGTTTCACATCTGAAACCACCGGCGGAGCCGAACCCATGCAGTTGGGATTCACTCACCTCACCCCCGAGGAACGGGAACGCCGTATGCAGAATCAACTGTGCCTCTACTGCGGTCAGGCGGGACACATGAGGACTTCCTGCCCAGTTCGTCCCTCACCCAGTTCCCGATCGGTGAGTCTAAACACTCGCATGACCACCTCTGCCTCAAGCATAAAATTACCAGTCAAACTGCTTGTTAATGATACTACAATTACCACCACTGCTCTATTAGACTCCGGAGCGGCTGGTAACTTTGTCTCATATGAATTCGCTCAGCACCACAAACTAAAACTAACCCCTTGTAACTCTCCCCTGGCAGTGGAGGCGCTAGACGGACGGCCCCTTGGAGAGGGGAGGATTTTAAGCATCACCGAAGAAGTCAAATTACATGTTGGAACCCTGCACTCTGAATTCATCCAATGCTACATCATCTACTCGCCCAATCACACTATCATTCTCGGACTACCCTGGCTGCGCACACACAATCCACTCATCTCTCGGCGGGAAGGACAACTTATTCAATGGGACGTCACATGTCAAGATCGTTGCCTGTCAAAAATTACCCAAGCCTCCAGTAATGCCTCTCTCTCACCTGCTCCAGACACAAACAATCTTCACCTGCCCCCAGAATACTCACACCTCGCCGACGCCTTCAGTCAAAAAAAAGCATCACAGCTTCCCACTCACCGTCCTGTCGATTGCGCCATCGACTTTATGCCTGGCACCACTCCTCCAAAAGGCAGAATTTTCCTGTTATCGCAACCTGAATCCGAGGCCATGAAGCTTTACATTGACGAGGAACTATCTAAGGGATTCATTCGACCCTCAACTTCTCCTGCCTCAGCCGGGTTCTTCTTTGTAAAGAAAAAGGACGGAGGGTTGCGGCCATGCATTGATTACCGCGGCCTCAATGACATCACCATTAAGTTTCGCTACCCGTTGCCCCTAGTTCCAGCCGCATTAGAACAGCTTCTAGATCTATGCAACGCTTACAACTTAATTCGCATCCGTGAAGGAGACGAATGGAAGACGGCGTTTTCCACCACTAGTGGGCACTATGAATACTTGGTTATGCCGTTCGGCCTGGCAAACAGTCCTTCAGTTTTCCAATTGTTCATGAATGACATCTTCCGGGACATGCTCGACCGATGGGTAATTGTATACATCAACGATATCCTGATTTACTCAAACACTCTGGAGGAACACATCCACCATGTTAGATCTGTGCTGAAACGCCTCATGAAGTATCAACTCTACGCCAAAGCTGAGAAATGCGAGTTTCACCGAACAAGCACCTCGTTCCTCGGGTATATTATCAGTCAGGAGGGGGTAGCCATGGACGAGAAGAAAGTCAAGGCAGTGTTGGCTGCCTGGAACTACGTTCGCCGTGCGTTTCCCTGAAAATAATTGCACACCTCAGAACGTTTGTCAGCCAATCAGATTCAAGCATTCAACGGACCCGTAGTATAAATGTTATTATTTTCTACTCTTCCTCTGTTACAGACTTATATACTGTAATCACACTGATGAATGCTGTAAAAGTGTGGCTTCAGTTCTACAATCATCAGACCCTCTTCTGAGAGAGCCGGACCTGAGTAACAATAACCTGCATGAATCAGGAGAGAACGGTCCACAGTTTCAACTGGAGAAACGGAGGTTTGTGACTTACTTATTTTTTTATTACAAAAGCAATTGGGTACTGATGGAATCAACATCAGTGTTTTTCAAAGTATAAACCAGCTACCTTTGAAAAATCAGAAATTAATTTGAAAAAGTATTACTGGTGTTTTTGAAAAGCTACATGATGATTTTTGCACTTTGTTCTGTTTAGACTTGCTGTCTTCAAACTCCTAGATAAATCATTTGAAGATTTCGCTTTAGTTTCACAACCATCAAATTACCTGCAGAGAGATCCATGTAACAATGATCAGCAGTATTCAGGAATGGAGCTGCTTTCTGCTGGCCTGATGAGTCCTTACTGTAAACTGCAGATTCTGAGGTATTTACCCTTGAGTACTGAATACATATGATATTTCTTTTTCTGTTCCCAGAAAAAACTCATTGCAGTTACAATGCTTATTATCAATGCAAAGTCACGGTTTAATCTGTTTGTAAAATCACCACCTGGTGGCACAAAGGTACGGTGGCCGAGAGAGCTCAACGCGCTGCAAATGGAAAAACACATGCAAATAGAAAAAAACACCTGCAAATTAAGAAAACATCTTCATCAATTTGACAACACACGCACTGCAAATTCTCACAACACAAACAAATACAGAAACACACTGCAAATTCTCACAACACAAACAGAGAAACGTGCTGCAAATTTTCACAACACAACCAAATACAGAAACATGCTGCAAATTTTCACAACACAAACAAATACAGAAACGCGCTGAAGCCACCTCTAGCGACACTATCCTTCCTGAAAGCCTTCTCGTGGCACCTGTACAGTGGGATATCATGACCGAGATCGAACATATGAACCTCCAAGATCCACCGCCTCCCGAATGCCCTGCCAACCTCACTTATGTGCTGGAACCCCAACGACAGCGACTGCTCTCTCAGGTACACGTTACACCCAGCTCAGGTCATCCTGGAATCACTGCCACAGTACACCTGCTCAAGAATCGATTCTGGTGGTCCACTATGCTGACCGACACCACCAAATTCATCCAGGACTGTATCACGTGTCAGACTTCCAAATCACCCAGACAACTCCCGGCCGGCCTGCTACAACCACTACCGACACCACAACGACCTTGGTCTCATATCGCCATCGACTTCATCACCGACCTACCCAATTCCCAAGGTAACACCACCATACTCACAATCATAGACCGATTCTCCAAAGCCTTCCGCCTAATTCCTTTACCCAAGCTCCCCACAGCTTTCGAAACCGCCGAATTGCTCTGCAACCAAGTGTTCAAATTCTATGGCCTACCCGGAGATATTGTGTCAGACCGAGGGCCTCAATTCACTTCAAAAGTATAATCCGCCTTCTTCAAACACCTCAATGTCAACATCAGCCTTACATCCGGTTACCATCCTCAATCCAACGGGCAAACAGAACTTCTTAATCAGGAGGTGATTCGATTCCTCAGATCATACTGTCAGCAACAACAATTGGACTGGAGCAGGTATCTATTTTGGGCAGACGTGTCAGACTTCCAAATCACCCAGACAGCTCCCGGCCGGCCTGCTACAACCACTACCGACACCACAACGACCTTGGTCTCATATCGCCATCGACTTCATCACCGACCTACCCAATTCCCAAGGTAACACCACCATACTCACAATCATAGACCGATTCTCCAAAGCCTGCCGCCTAATTCCTCTACCCAAGCTCCCCACAGCCTTCGAAACCGCCGAACTGCTCTGCAACCAGGTGTTCAGATTCAATTTGACAACACACGCACTGCAAATTCTCACAACACAAACAAATACAGAAACACACTGCAAATTCTCACAACACAAACAGAGAAACGTGCTGCAAATTTTCACAACACAACCAAATACAGAAACATGCTGCAAATTTTCACAACACAAACAAATACAGAAACGCGCTGCAAATTCTCACAACACAAACAAATACAGAAACACGCTGCAAATTCTCACAACACAAACAGAGAAACGTGCTGCAAATTTTCACAACACAAACAAATACAGAAACGCGCTGCAAATACAAAAACGTCCTGCAAATTCTCACAACACAAACAAATAGAGAAACGCGCTGCAAATTCTCACAACACAAACAAAGGAACGTGCTTCCCTTAAACATTTCCATCTGTGCATATTTGCGGTGCATTTCTGTTTTTGTTTGTTTGTTTTGTACTTGCAGAGCATTTCTTTGTTTGCGTTGTGAGTCTTTGCAGAACGTTTCTGTATTTGTTTGTGTTGTGAGAATTTGCAGCGCGTTTCTGTTCATACTGTCAGCAACAACAATTGGACTGGAGCAGGTATCTATTTTGGGCAGAATACGCACAGAATTCATTGGTGAAACCAGCCACAGGGATGACACCGTTCAAATGCATTCTGGGTTTTCAACCACCATTGTTTCCCTGGTCTGGCGAACCCACCGACCTACCCTCGGTCACAGATTGGGTGCAACACAGCGAGGAGGTTTGGGACCGAGCTCTTTGTGTTGTGAGAATTTGCAGCGCGTTTCTGTATTTGGTTGTGTTGTGAGAATTTGCAGCGCGCGTGTTGTCAAATTGATGAAGATGTTTTCTTAATTTGCAGGTGTTTTTTTTTTCTATTTCCATGTGTTTTTTCATTTGCAGCACTTTGAGCTCTCTCGGCCACCGTACAAAGGGACCGTTTGCAACATTACTCGGTAGGGCTAGAATTGTGATGAATATATTTGTAAATTGGCATCAAATATAAATGGAAAAAAAAATACTGGTAATAATAAAAATATATAATTATAACATATTTAATCTTGACTAATTATTTATCATAGAAAGGTGTAATATCCCAGCTTCATTTTTGACCATGTTACAATTATATATTAGACTGACAGCAATGCTTAATTCTGTTCACAGTACCACAAATATTTATTATTTACAATCAACTGGTATTGCTGATGGTATTGCTTCTGCCCCTGCTTGAGAGAGATAAACAAACAAAACGCTCCGGTTGCTGACGTAACCTCGGTTCCCTGAGATAAGGGAACAAACATTGTGTATGGGGAAACTCCTGTTTACACTGATACTGAAGCCTGATTTGTTCACGTTTGTGTAGCTGCACAAACCAATGGTGCTCTAGCCCGCCAGAATGGGCGGAGCCGACCCTTATATAAGTTGGCTCAGAGCGCCATTTCATCAGAATCATTAGACTGAAGCGACAGTCATGGCTTTGTAGCATGGCAAGTGACACAACGCTCATTCCCTTATCTCAGGGAACCAAGGTTACGTCAGTAACTGGAGCGCTCCCTTTCTAACGTTCTCTCACGTTGTGTATGGGGAACACATCCAATCACGCGGTGCTACGAGCAGATATAGAACTACCTGCTCTGCGAGCCCAGTCTAGGAGCACTTAATTAAGGACTCCAAAGAACATGAGCCAAACTGAGTCCCAAACACTGCTGAGGACTACAGATATAATTATTTCCACCCTCAGGGGGAAATAAGCAAACTAAATAGACAAAATCCATGCCTGCAATGTGGGGACGTCTAAATTGTAGAATCTGGCAAAAGTGGACGGTGACGACCAGCCGGCGGCCACACAAATCTCACTTATAGAAATTCCACTGGACCACGCCCAGGAGGAGGCCATTTCTCTGGTGGAGTGGGCCCTCACCCCATGGGGCATTGCAAGCCTTCTGAGGCATAAGCCAAGGCTATAGCATCTACTATCCAGCAGGAAAGTCTTTGCTTCGTAACCGGCAGCCCTTCACAGCGGCCTCTGAAGCAGACAAAAGGCTGCTCTGATTGTCTGAAAAGACCAGAGCGCTCAATGTACACTCTAAGGGCCCTCACTGGGCAGAGCGGATTGGGACCCTGCTTGCCGTCTGCAGCGGGGAGCGCTAGAAAGGTAATAACCTGGGCTCTGAACGCAGTTGACAGTACCTTAGGTTGGCAGGAAGGTTTTCAGGGCCAGGAAAACCGCCATCATTTCGAGGCAGTTGATGTGAAGGCGCCGCTCGTGGGTTGACCAGGAGCCAGATACCGGACAGCCCTCTAACAGAGCGCCCCAACCCGTGATGGAGGCATCCGTAGTAACCACCTTTCTCCTGGAGGTCAGTCCCAACTGAATGCCTGGTTGAAACAGGCGAGATGTCATCCAAGGGGCCACAGCCTTGATATAGCGATGGGTTACCCTGACATAAAACCGGCCCAGGCACCAGGAGTGGGACAGGACATGGGCTTTGAGCCAATATTGGAGAGGCCGCATGTGAAGCAGGCCTAGAGGAATCACAGAGGAGGCAGCCGCCATTAGGCCGAGCATCCTCTGGAAAGTCCTGAGGGGACGCAAAGTCCCTGGCTTGAAAGATGCCACCAGTCGCTGAATAGTCAGGGACCAATCCGGCATAAGCCACGCCCGCATTCGGGTCGAGTCTATAACAGTCCCCAGAAAGACCGCTCGCTGTCTGGAGAGCAACTGACTCTTGTGTGGGTTGATTTTCAACCCGAGGCGCTCCAGATGGCTGATCAGCAGCGATCTGTGCGCGATTAGTTCCCGTTCTGTTCTGGCTAAAACCAGGCAATCGTCGAGGTAATTGAGAACGCAGATTCCCATCTGTCACAGAGGGGAAAGAGCCGCGTCGATGCACTTCTTAAAAGTGCGAGGGGCCAGAGACAGTCCAAATGGTAGGACTGTGTACTGATAGGCCACTCACTCGAACGCAAATCTCAAGAACAGTCTGTGGTGGGGGGTTATGTGGATGTGGAAGTACGCATCTCTCAGATCCACTGTCAGAAACCAGTCCTCGGGACAAACCTGCACAAGGATCTGTTTCAAATTTAACATTCTGAAAACCGACCCTCTCCTCTTCCTCTCTGCAGGCAGATCAGGACGGCTTCTGCAGCTCAGGGTCCAGCACTACACGGAGGCGAGGCCCTTGGCGCTTTGGAAACGCGTAGCGTTTAGTCGTCTGGTAGGGCTGCTTGAGCCCAGGCTCAGACTTCTGCTGAGGCTGAGGTGGCTCTGGCTTAGCAAGCTGCTGAGTGGAAGGGGTCTTCTGGCGGCTTGGGGCCGCAGCGCTGGAGCGCTTAGGCAGGAAGTGACGCAGCGCTTGCGACGTCTTCTGTGCCTCCGTAAAATGCTCAGCAAACCCGTCCATGGCTGGGCCGGATAGCCCCTTCGGTGAGACTGGCAAGTCGAGGAAGGCCATTTTCTCAGCGTCCCTGATCTAGGTGAGATTCAGCCATAGGTGGCGCTCCAGCACCATCAGGCTGGCCATGGTCTTGCCAATAGCCTGAGCCTTTGCTTTCGTGGCGCGCAGAGCCAGATCTGTTGCTGTGCACAGCTCCTTAAAAGCCTCGTGATCTTGGCCAGACTCGTCCATAGACCGGAGAAGTTTGACCTGAAACACCTGGAGAACCGCCATAGAATGCAGCGCAGAGCTGGCCTGGCCGGCCGTTGCATATGCTGTATTGGCCAGGGCTGAGGTAGTCCTGCAGGGCTTCGATGGATGCGCTGCGCGGGCTTTCAGACTGAGGGTGGATGGCGTGCACAGGTGGGCGGCGACCACCTCTTCCAGAGGGGGAAGTCCGCTGTATCCTCTTTCTTCAGCGCCGTCAACGGTGGTGAGAGCAGTTGAAGAGGATGAGCTCGGACGTTCCGAATAGGGGGCACGCCATGTCTTGGTCGGTTCTTTATGAACTGCAGGCAAGAATGGAGCGTGCCGCTGGTGTGAAGATCGCTGACGGCGTCCTTTCAGGAACAACTCGTCGAGCAGGCCATGGGCGGCCTCAACCGGGATCAGCTCGCTGTCCACGTTCGGCCGTGCTGAGCGAGGAGAGGGTGGGGCGTCGCGATCTTTGCCGGAACACTCACACTCTTCTGTATCCGACGCTGTCAGAGATACAGAGTCATCGACGGCAAATATTCCTCCGAGACGCCGAAGGAAATCAAGCCGCTCGCAGCAGAAGAGGGGCATTGATCTTCCTGCGTGAAGAACACCTGCGACTCGGTGAGGCGCAGGGAGGGTGGGGCACGAGGGCGCAGAGCCGACATGACATCACTCGAGCCCGCTGTCAGAATCCCGCTGCTCCGCTGTTTCTTTCTCTCGGGGGAGAGAGGAAACGGGAGAGCAGAGCGGGGAGGACCGACTTCATTAAAGAAGGCGACCCACGAGCAAAGACTGGCGAGGCTCATGCTTTCGCAATGAGAGCATGTACCCCCAGCGAGCACAGCCTCTGCGTGGGCGATGCTCAGACAGGTGACACACTCTCTGTGCCAGTCAGACTCAAGCAGGGGATCCCTGCACGAGTCACACTCGCGGCTCGACATTTGAAGCAATGCACGCTTGGAAATTTGCTCAAATTTGCTCTTTTATTCAGCCGGATAGCCGCAGGAGAAGGTGTCCGCGCCGCTTCTTCCACTACCGGGGCTTCTTTCAACAGCAGTGAGCAGAGAGAGCTTCTTTCCTTCTTCGGCTTCTTCCGTCCAGTGTCAGCAAAGAGATGATCCTCGTCGCTGAAGGAGAATATTCTGATGAAATGGCACTCTGAGTCGACTTATATAGGGGTCGGCTCCGCCCATTCTGGCGGGCTAGAGCACCATCGGTTTGTGCAGCTACACAAACGTGAACAAATCAGGCTTCAATATCAGTGTAAATAGGAGTTTCCCCATACACAACGTGAGAGAACGTTCGAAAGGGAACACTTACTCCTTTCACTTACAGTTAACAGGCAGAAGGCAATTAAGGTCACCATTATAATAAATTAGGACATTAAAGAGGCATTTCTGCTGACTCTGGAAAAACACCAGAAGTATGCTTAAGGTCCTGTTCACCTGTGTGGCGTGAGGACTGCAGATTTGGCCAGAGCAATAAACTGTAATATGCGTAATGTAAGATGCCTAAGACAGGGCTACAGGGAGACAGAAAGGACAGCTGATCGTCCTTGCAGTGTTAAAAGACAGGTAACCATGTGTCCCCCCAGATGTGTTCAAGAATTTGCAAATGTCTTGACTTTTGATATTGCCCCCCCCCCTCCCCCTTTGTTCAGGGACCCAATTATTAGTTTTTATGTTTATTTACTGTATTAATTAAATACACACTGTTTCTTATTAAAACTACAAAAGTTATTTAGTCAAGAGCAGTGAAGTCTGTTTTTATTCTGTAGTTTGATTAACATTAAGGACATAGACAAAACACATCTGAAAAAATAGTGAAGGTCACAGAGTGATGGAAAAATTGCACAATCCATGCTGCCTAAGACATGTCAACACATTATATTAAGCCCTTCAAACAAACGCATGAGCATATAACCTGTCCTGTCAGGTTCTTTGACAGATTTGTTGTTCTTTTAAAGCATTTGCATTTTACAGTTATATCCTGTAATGATATTAAGTATCAATAATTTTTTGCAATATTTACAGGATAAAGGAATGACAGTTGCATGTTATTGTTTAGAGGAGAGAGAATGTGTTTGTTCTTGCAGAACAGTCCTCTTACCTGTTAACACTGAGTTTGTGCTTTTTCCTTATTATCACTTTTAATTTAACAATTTAAACTTTTTGCTGTAAAACTTGCCATTGGTTTCTTTTTCACACAATGTAAAAGCATAGGCTACATAGATACTTTTCACTCAAATTGACTTTCGTTAATTTTTTACAAAAAAATCTTTTGTAGTGGAACTTTAAATAGTTGTTTGATTATTTTGAAAATGTGTTGTTCTGTTTAGACTGGCAATCTGTAATCTCACTGATCAATCCTGCAAAGGCTTGTCCTCAGCGCTTCAGTCATCAAACTCATCACTGAGAGAGCTGGACCTGAGTAACAATGACCTGCAGAATTCAGGAGTGAAATTTCTCTGTGCTGGACTGAGGAGTTCAAACTGTACACTGAAGACACTGAGGTATTTCATTACATTACTTAGATAATCTCGTTCTTCTTCTACAACTCTTGAAGTCTTTGTCAGGCCACAGAACAGTGAAAAGTAATCTTTGAAATTTGGCACACAGGTAGAAGACATTCTGATCATACTGCAAATTTCACTTATGGTTTGAACTTTTGGCCTTGAAACATACCACTTTGAATATTCTGAAAAACCTTTTCATCCTAGACAGCTGATCAGATATTCACCGTATTTAGTTCGGATCATCATTAGACCATGATAGCAAAAATTGTATAAAACATCATGACAGACAAAACCATTCTCTTATAATACTTAAATGAATTTAATGCATACGCACTCCAAACAGGACTTGAGGCTGTTTCTCCACAATGTAAAGTTTCTCCAAATGAAACTTGATATATGTCATAGCAGTGATGCCCAGAGGGTACATGAGCAGTTTCAGCACAGCATGACCAGCTGTTCAATAAATATGAATAATAGCTACATTTGCTTAAAACTTCTTAAAAGTTATTAAAAGTCTAAAACTACTTGCCGCTAGTCTGTTCATCTGTTAGTATTCAAATGTATGCTGATGACAAGTTTTGTATGTGCATGCGAAAAACAAACAACAAGCAGTGAACATTTTAACTGAGGTATTGGTCCATGTTTCAGGTTGGCTGAGTAACTCGTATTTACATTTGAAAATGAGCAAAACTGTCTGTATGTATTTCTCACAAAAACCGACAGTGATTCCTCATCCTAATGTATTTGTTAAAGGAGAAAAGCTCAAGGTTGTTTCTGATTTTAAATACTTAGAGTAATTTTTGATTCCCAACTGACATTTCAAAAGCATGCTAAAAAGGTAGCCACAATTATTAAATTTAACTTGGCTAACTTCAGGCATATAAGACCATGCTTTAACAACAGAAGCAGCAAAACTCTTAATGCACTCTATGATTTTTTTCTCATATTACATATTGTTTTACGAGTTGGTCACAAGCAAGCACAACCGTTTTAAAATCAATTGAATCTGTTTACAAACAGTAAAATAAATTAAAATATTTGATCAGAGTAATAATTATCATTATTGCAATATAGTTCAAAAACATAATTTATTGAGTTTTGATAATATTAAACATTTTGGTTGATGCTTGCTTGATTTTTAAGATTTTAAATGGTTATGGACCTCCCCCACTATGCCAGTTTATAATGCAGAAGGATAATAATGGCAGAGTAACAAGAGCAACTACTAGAGGAGACTGTGCTGTACAGTTTAGGCGTACAACATTTGGACGGTCAGTCTTCTCAATTAGAGCCATTAATTATTGGAATAATCTACCAACTGAATTAAGGAGTAGTACAAATTATTTAACATTTAAATATAAATTAAAGAAATTGTTAAAAGCAAGTCATATTGTAATCATGTGTTATTTTTTCCCCCTTTATGATACTGCCATTATTATCCTTAGTGTTTAATTGTAAATGTTATTGTATGTTTATGTGTGATTAATTTACTGTATTTTAGATTTTTAGGTTGCCTTTTTAAAATCTGGTAAGGGGCAACAAATGACAATTAGCCATTTGGGCTAACTCTGGCTTATTTACAGTATTTTACTGTTGATTAATGAGCACTGTCCCGGTTAAATAAATAAATATTTGGAAGTTTTAGAAATGAGAAATCAAGAGACTGTTCTCTTATTCTGTAGGGCATACTGAGCTGAATGATATCCAATGTTCCTATTTGGGCTTCTGCCGTTTTGAATTTTGTCATAAAAATTCTATATTTTACAAACACATGAGACTGGTCTTGTAAGATATCTTGAGCTATACTGAGTACAGTGACATCGAATTTGCCATGGTCCATCTTAGTGCCTGTCTGCAATTTAGAGTTTTATTTAAAGTGTATTTTTTTGAAACACTCCTTACAGCATTTATCAGATCTTTGCCAAATTTGGCTCCATTTTAAAGTATGTGGAAAGAACATCAGTTATATTACACAAGTATTCTAGCTCATTGATTTTTGTACATAAAATGACAAATTATTATATCAACCTTAAAAAAAATAATGAAAATGAATAGATCTTTTATAGAAAAAGAAAATATCACAACCTTTATGTTTCCTTTACATGGTAGTAAGATGTGTTTTAGTGTTGGGGTCTTTACTATTGATGTGCGTGTCTTAGGTTATCTGGCTGTATGGTGACAGAGGAAGGGTGTTGTTATCTGGCTTCAGCTCTGAGGTCAAACCCCTCACACCTGAGAGAACTGGATCTGAGCTACAATCACCCAGGAGACTCTGGAGTGAAGCTGCTCTCTGATCTACTGGAGGATCCACACTGTAAACTGGAGAAACTCAAGTATGTTGGGCATTACGGTTAACTTTTTTCCTGGTTATTTGGAGTTCAAAGTGTAAAGAAGTTAAAGTGTATAGGAGCTGTTGTAGCGAAAAGCTACCTGAATTATTAGGGCTAGTAAGGTATCGTAGTGAACCAGGTGTGTCGGTCAGAATACGCAGAGGGGAGTATCAGTTTCAACAGCTTTAATAATCATAAAGTACAATAATCAACAGTAGTGAGGGAAGACAGCCTTTACATACACTTCAGTTAGTGGTTGGATGTCAGGATACTGAAAGATGAGCTTGGTTACAATGAGAGAGGTTTGGGTATTGTGGTCAGTCAACGGGCTCCTTTATAGTACTCAGATGAGATGAATATCCTTAGCTCTGTTCAGTCTCTGTAATGACAGCAGCCGAGCACATAGAGATGGTGAGGCTGAATCAAGAGTGAGTTATATTCTTCCAGTGGGAATCAGATGTACAGCTTCCTCATACTGACATCTGCACGTAGCGTAGTGCTACGTGATGCGCGTCTTTCATAATCAAAGTCTTCAACAGAGTCAATGCAACAAGCGCTCCATCACTCTCTTTTATTCGCCTTTTGCACAGCTGTCAAGTCATGTTCACTGGAAAGAGGACCCAGAGAGGGGAGGGATAAATTCAGGTTTATTAAGCGAGAAAAGGGAAGGAAGGTTACACTGTAAGCTCACGCAACAAAAACCAAATCCACTCCAGTGCAAACAGTGAGTTCCTCTGCTGGGAGGAGTAGCGCTGATTGGACTCAGAGACTAAGTAGTGGTCAGGAAGGCGATGGGTGCCTGAAGAGGACTGTGTCCAGAAAGGGATAGAGGAGGGGATGAAGGAGCAGAGGAATAATGAAAGAGAATTGTATAGGAAACAAAGCCATGTGCTAAGACAAACAAACTCACACAAGACAGAAGAAAGAGGGCATACTTCCCATGAATAGGAAAGTTTTTCTACAGAAATGTATATTTTATTTACTTTTCACATTTCACTTATTTTATGTTCTCATTGAATCAGAAAAGCAGAAATTGACCTTATTTATCTTTACAGTGTGGATCATGCTGGAGATGTCATGATTATAGCAGGACTACGCAAATGTAAGTTTACACACACACAGACACACCTTTTGTCACTGTTGTGTTCTCATTCTCCCCTCTGTTTTTTTTCTTGTGTTCAGATGCCTGTGATCTCACATTGGATCCAAACACAGTAAACATTCATCTCTGTCTGTCTGAGCAGAACAGAAAGGTGACACGTTTGGAGGAGCAGCAGTCCTATCCTGATCATCCAGAGAGATTTGATTACTTTCCTCAGGTTGTGTGTAGAGAGAGTCTGTCGGGACGGTACTACTGGGAGGTCGAATGGAGCGGGTGGAGGGGGGCAGTTATATCAGTGGCACATAAAGGAATGAGCAGGAAAGGAGGAAGTGATGATTGTAGGTTTGGATTCAATGAAAAGTCCTGGAGCCTTGATTGCTCTGATGAGATTTTCACTGTCTGGCACAATAAAAAAAGCACTGACATACCCATCCCATTCTCCTCTAAGAGAGTAGGACTGTTTCTGGACTGGCAGGATGGCACTCTGTCCTTCTACAGCGTCTCTGACACACACACACTCACACACTTACACACATTTTACTCCACATTCACTGAACCCCTCTGTGCTGGATTTAGAGTTTTTATTGACTCTTCAGTGTCTTTGTGTCAGATTCAACAGCCTCCACACACTGCTAATCTTGTCAGTGAAGTTTCATTAAAGACAGAAAATGAAAATTATGACAACAATTAAACAGTTTTATTTATATATATATTTATATATATATATATATATA